GGAGCCCATCAATGCTTGCAGACTATTGCTGGACAGTGACAAGAGATGCTCATTTAATAAATACAAGAGACAAGCCAAGAAGCTCCAAGTAGACACTGAATAGGACTAAACTATGTACATAATAGCTTTTTGCCTTTTGTTTCATAATAAATTTTATTTATATAACCCTTTTGCTGATTTTTAAAGTGTTACATGAACAGGACAGGTGAAATATTATCATGTAAAGCAACCATAAACACATGAAAAGACCTAGGTTTACAATTTATGATTAAAACTCTACTATCTACATAATATACATAGACATAAAATGTAAAAACTTAAATATCTTAGAAACAGTAGCCAATCAGTTGTTTTAATTGTCATATTTGAATTCAGCACATCAAAATACATAATAAATAGCACATTTTGTCTCTGAAGCAGACGACTTCTCAAAAATTGTAACCTCTCTTTTGCTAGTAAAAGACTGAGTAAGAATCTACAAACTGTAAACTTTTTAATATCATTATTAAAATAAAATACTGTAATGAATCATCTGTGGCAGCTCCTCTTCAGTTAAGATTGAGACTTATTTTCTATTATAAGTCTGATCTTGGATTCCTCTCTAAAATGATGATAAAAATGTCTAGTGTGAGATGCCTAGAGCCTAATTTTTCCAATTACATAAAATTATATGGCATTATATATGCTCAAAGCACGTGAGATGTTTCTCCAGAAATAAAGTATGATAAAGTCCCTATTTTACTAACTAACTAGGGAGTATTCACTTCTGAATATTCCAGAAGTAAATACTGACAAGCAGGGGCATTGCACTTCAAAGTATGGCACCCATAGATTTCAGTTGTATTTGTGCATTGTGAGCACTTTTACAAATTAGACCCCAGTGTCTCAATTCAGGCACCCAGAAAATGAGAACGCAGTTAGTGACCACCTTTGAAAAGTTTAGTTTAAATGGCTTGCCTAGCATCACCTAGGAGCTCTCTGTGGCAGATGCAGGGATTGCTTGGGGCGGCAAAAAAGCCAGAGCTGGCCCTGCTTACCCATGAGCTCATCCTTTCGCTCCCTTCGATCCCTTGCCTTTCACTGCACACCTTCCAACTTCTGCAACAAATGAGGCAAGGGTTCTACAGACCTGTCTGCTTCACTACATAATCCTTATTCATCCCCAGAGCAGGTCCATCTTGTGCACTGAATGAGACAGGGATACAATCTCCTTGTCCCTTTCTGTTCTCCCAGGTGCTTTGTCCTAGTCTCTTGCCCAGTCGGTCACAGTTTTATGGAAAATAGGTCTTGTCAAACAAACCCGATTTCATTTTTTAAGGAAATTACAGGTTTGGTTGATAAAGATAACTGCATAGATGTAATAGTCCTAGACTTCTGTAGAGAGCTTAGTGT